TCTTGACTTCACACCGTGTCCTGCGCCCCCTGCTGGCCCCTGCTCAGCCCCTGTCCAGCTGGGCTCCCGTCCTGTCCTCCAGGGCCCCTGCACACGAGGCTGTCCACCCCGTGTGTGCGGCCTGCTGTCCCCTCCCCGGCCCGGGCCCCGCCCTTTCAGACAGTGGCCCCGTCTGGGCGGCTGCTCAGGTCCTCCTGCCCCGTGTCAGGGTCTCTGTCCCCCGCACCCCTCTCTCGTGGTCCGGCCCCACCGTCTGCACAGCTCTAGGGAGGGCGCTGGACCAGGCCTCCGCTCTCCTAATCGTGCTACTGCTTCCGGGGTCCCACATTGGGGACAGGTGACTGTCAGAAGCTTCCTGCCTTTTCGGGGTTCTCTGGTGGCTCAGTTCTGGCCGCACCTACTCCTGAGGGGGCTCGCTGGCGCCTCCCAGTGGCCACATCCGGGATTGCAGGCGCCTCTGAGGCCCAGTGGGGTGGAGAGGGGGTTGGTGATCCCTAACCCTCACTCCCTCTGTGAAATGCCAGACACCAGGGCCAGGTCTCCTCAGGAAGGTCTGGCAGGTTCCATCCCGCAAGGGCCCGCAATGCTCAGGGAGTGTCCCCTAACACCAGCTCTGGTTTGGCCGTCTGCCCCGTGGGTCCGGTTCCCGGAGGAGGCTGTGACGCACTCTCTGCCAACAGAGAGACGCCCCAATATATCTTCTTCTGGACCCTTTATTCTTCCCTCTCGCACGCGCGCCCACCTCCTGCCTGCTTCTCTCTCCCCCCCTGCTTGCTTGCCTCTCTCTAGCTTTCCTCCTCCCTGCTGCCTTCCCCCTGCTCCTCCTGCTTGCTTCCTTCGCTTTCTCTAGCTTGCCTCCTCTCTGCTGCTCCCCCCCATCCGTTATGGCAGTTGCTTAAATAGCATTCATTGACCAATCAGAGCACTGCTCACGTGTACAACAGGCGGGTTTGGCTGCTGAATCATGGGCACCGTGGTTGAGCCGGCTGCGCGGACAGTGCCGTGTGCTCATTAAGTCTGGTGGCGCCCGGGGCCACCATGATTCTCCCGCCCAGACCAGCCCCAGGGCTCCTTGCCTGGCCACGGCCTACGCCCCTTGTATTTGAACACCCAGCCCCGGACCTGCTTGCCCTGGCCATCCACGGGTGTTCCCGTGGGGAGAAGAATCCCGAGAACCTCCTCCTGTGTTGTGACCCCCATGTACAGAGGCGTCAGAGGCCCTCACCCTGTGACTGGGTCTTCCCTGTCCATTCCACGGTTGTGCCGCCGCTGGGCAGGGTCAGTGTAGACTGAGGCAGAGGGAGAGAGAAGCTGGGGCCTGACATGTCCTGGGCTTAGCCTGAGACAGAGCCCAGGGGCCAGGGCAGGCGGCCATGAGGGACGGGGAGACGGGGCTGCGGGCTGTGGCCACGAGGCCACTGAGCCGGGCATATTACAGGCAGGTGCCTTATCAGGACAGAGCTGCATGGGCTGTTTCTGTGTCGCAGGAAGCGCTGTTGTGCTCACAGGTGCGTTGTTCGGCCTCTGAGGGAGTCGAGCTGGTGTGAGCTCAGGCGAATGGAGGCTGGTTCAGGCCGCACCGTGCGGGATCTGGGGCTGTCTTGTGCCTCCACGATTCTGTCCTTTGCCGTGGTTAAACTGCCTGGACGGTTCCGTGCGCCTCGGAGTGCAGAAACAGGGGAGTTGAGCAGGTCCTCTCCGGGCAGAGATCCTGGCTGAGGCTGCCGCATCCAATCCAGCGGGACCAGCCGTCGTGCTGTGCTACCGGCCTCAGCCTGAGATTTCCTTGGCGTGTCCCTCGCTCCCCCCCGGCCACGCCGGCCGCCCCGGCCACGCCGGCC